AGTGTCCCCAAGCAGGGCAAATCAGCAAAGAACAAAGGAGGGGACAGGTGGGCCAGAGGTGAGTGTTACGGAAGTATAATATCCACCTCTTTAATGAAATAACGGCGGGGAAGCATAATCCTTTTATCTTCAAAGGTTTAGGAAGGCTTGTGAGAGAAGCTTGTGGAGCCGGCGTCTATACCCGGAAGTAGGTCCCACAATCACCAAGCGCTTTCTCTCTGGCGAAGTCTCTCTAAGTAGTGTTAGAGAGCCGCGTCAGAAGGGGGCGAGGCCGGCTCCGCATAGCGGAATGCCGAACCCAGAAGAGATACCGCATGACAGAAAGTGTGTCATATGTAGATTGGCATATTATGGAGAGTTAGTAGGGGTGTAGCTCAGGATGGGCCCCTAAGAGGTGAGAGATTAGACTGTAATACAGGCTAAGCGTTATCTTGGCATTAGAGGTGCTGAGCCTGTGTAAGTGTTATGCTTATGACGGACAAAGAACATGGTGGTTAAGTCAGCTGTCTGACCTGGCTAAACAGGTTAAGCAGGCATAATACATGTTGTACTCATCAATAGTGTTTATGAATCATGCTAGGTAGAAGAAAGGCATGTAATTAGAGTCTGGAGAGCTAGCCATGGAAACAATAAGAGTAAAGCAATACATATTGCAGGTGATGTGAAATAAACATGAAGCAAACATGCTGAGCTAAATACAAGCTGATTCATAATATGTTCACTGTGGTCTAGGATCTTGGGTGGCATGCCGCCCGTCAAGCTCTACCATCTCATTTGTGTGACATGGTTGGTACAATGTTTTTCTATGGTCAGGCATCCCCAGGTAGGGTCTCTTCATCCGATGCCTTCCTTCAGGGAACGGCCGGAGCCCGTCAGTGGGTCTCGGCGGTCCACCGCTGTGCGGATGGTAGCGAGGGTGTCCCTCCAGCCCCAGGCTGGTGTGCAGGCCTGCATCTCTTGGCCACAAACTCGGCTACCTCTGGGGCCCAGGCTTTCTCCACGTGCGGGAGTGTAACCGTGTGTGGTTCCCTTATTTACCACTATAATGTCTTAAAGCATAGAACTTAGTAGGGCTAACCATACAGATATCTTAGCCATAATTTTATATAGTGTAAGAGATCCTCTATTTAACATATATAAATAATTGAGAATACAATATAAAATAAGGATTGTCTTGGAAGCAAGATTGTCTTTTTGGATATTTATTATATAAAAATATAAAATCCATTATAGCAGAGTTTATAAAATTAAATTACATGCTTGCAAATATCATTAATAGGTTAACATACCCTTCTGAACATGTCATCATGTCAGCCTCTCTGTCATTTTAAGATGGAGCAGCGTCTGTCTCCAAGTCTCTCCTCTGTGTCTTAACATTTAAAAGTACACCTATTTATACCTTAGGTGTCTCCATTTTAGGTTACTGTAGTTCAAATATGAAAAAGTAACACTTCTTTTACTTTATTCAATTTAGGTCCTCCCTTAATTTGGCAAACATACAAGGCCATAACTAAAGGGTGTATACGTCATGGAAATTTTCCTGACTTAGTTCAAGATGGCATCTTAAAAGTCTGAATAGGTTATCTGTTGTTTATACTAAGTCGTAAGTGTACAGTCGTGGGAGATTCCAGGATTTGGGGAAGTTCCATTAACTTGGGGTTACCACAGTATATTGTGTACTGCAAGTGTCGTAGAATAGCCTTGAAGCTTGTTTATGCATTATTGTTATTGTAATTCGTCTGGGACAAAATGGCGCATACATATTATGCACTGAGGTTATTGCTCAAAGAAACATCTATGAAAAACAATATGTTACATTTCTAACACCTTGTCAGTTTGCAATATCTCTTAAAGACAAAGTACACAGTTTAAGAAATACAACATTTCATTCTAAAACTTGTAATATTTGTATTTGCCCGTAACAGGAGTGACGGAGGGTCTGGTAATCTTCTTACGCTTGCAGTACTTGCGCCTCCGTATTTGTGGGCGATGCATCCGGGTTTTCTGATGTGGTCTGCAGCCTGGGTGAGCCAGGGATTGTGTGGGTGGTTGGATGCTGTAGCTGTGCGCCCAAGGGTCTTCCCCTGACCCACTGCCACCCGCAGCTCCGCTTACCTGCAGTCTGTGGTTCAGGCATGTCGGTTTGGGCCGCCAGTTGCCGCTCCCTGAGTTTGTCCCAGGAGCGGTTGAAGATCGCCTCTAGTTGCTGCTGGAGGTCACACTGAGGTTTTCGTGCTGGCAGCATGCTCTGCTCATGTAGTATGCTGTCAGCCGCTATCTTAGGTGCGCCATGTGTCTCATGCTCAGGCTTGTGGTGCGATCTTGGCTGGCTGCTCCAGATGTCCAGTGATGGGGGTGAGTGGTGAGTGTACTGAGGAGTCTGTGCATGGCGTTGCCATCGAGGAGAGCAGCCGTCTCTCCCTGGCTCGTTCGCAGGTAGGTCCCATTTGCTTTTGCGGGTTCCCGGGCAGTGTCTTGCTTGTGGTGTCATTTTGTGCCCCCGGGTTTCCCCGCCACGTCTTATGCCATCCGGCTTGTGGGTGCTCCGATTTTCAGGGTATTTACACCAGATTTTGTAGCATTCATCGGGAGATGATTCTCTGCGCCTCTTTCCAGCTCAACAGTTAGGCTCCGCCCCCCCAAATTCTTTATTTATGTATTTTGTCAACCTTGTATATCAAGAAAATAGGTTACAGAATAAAGAAGAAATGTTAAAAAATACAGGATTTGTCAAGACATTCAAGTGGAAACATAGTACATCACATGTAATTTTTACATGAGATTTAACCAGTGGCGTCACAAGGGGTGGTGAGGGGGTGTGGACCGCAACAGGGTGTGCATCACAGGGGGGTTACACCAGGGCCGGCACGTCATTTAGTGCGCACCGGCTCTGGGGGCACAGGATCCAAGTGAACTGGCAGGAGGGAAGCACACAGCACGCCGTCCTGCTAGTCACTCTGAGTAGCATGGCCGGGAGGGATGGACCACAGTACAGGAGCTTCCTGTACCCGGTCGGACTTACAGAAAGTTTTCTCTCATTGAGCACGGCCACGCTACACAGGGAGGTTGGAGGCATACAAGGGAAGGGGAGGTACCACCAGGGGAGGAGAAATAGGCCACTAGGGGAGGGGAAAGAGGCCACTAGGGGAGGTGGGAGAGAGGGGAGAAACCAACAGGGGAAGGGGTGAGAGAGCCCACCTTGAGTGGGAGAGGGAGGGGGGAGGAGAGACTACTAAGGGACAGGGGAGGGGGAAAAACTCTAAGGGAAAGGGGGGAAGGGGAGAGCACTAAGGGACAGGAGGGGAGGGAAGTTTACTAAGGGACACACAAACACACAGAGGAAGGAGACAGCACAGAGGGACCTGGGGGTGGGAGGAGAAGGACACACAGAGCGGCCACAAACCCTCTCTTTCACACTACACACATACACAATGCATCCTCACACACACACACCTAAACATACAATGCATCCCTACTCACAAACTAAAACATACAGTGAATCCTACACACACACACAGAAACACACCATGCTTCCCATACACACTCAGCCTTACAAATAATGCATCCATTACACACACACATCCACAATGCAGCCCTTGCCCACACAATGCATCCCTTACACACACACACACAAACACACACTGCTTTTCATACGCACACAGAAACACAATGCATCTTACACACACTCAATGCATCCCTTACACATGTTAATAATAAACACCTTGCGGTTTACATCTAGAGTGGTCACTGGCTAGATGTGTACAGGTGGGATGAGGAACCAAAGTAATATGGTCTATGTTTTTAGTGACATACCAAAGGTGCGTGGACACAGTAAAAGTAAGTAGAGTAAGTAATAATAAGATATTAAATCAACTGAATACATGAGCTCAGAAGCTGAGGTTACAGGTTGCAATGATTAGTACTCATGGAAGAGCTTCATGTAAGCAGTTCCTGGTAATGACTATGTGTCAGTGGGGACTACGTGATCTTTGGGGTCTATATCACAGGGATAGTCATTGGGATCCGCTGTGGAGGTGGTACCCAGTAAACATACTATCAGTTGAAGAAAATACTAATAAAAAAAACATTTAATAAAGAAAAATAAAATGGGTAAATAAAAAATATATAAAGAAATAAAGAAAACACCAGAAACAAATGTGCCCCGGGAGGGGTAGTGTGTCCTTGGCTAAAAGAAGGCATCACAATGCCCAAGTGTGCTATGAGCAATGGGGTGGTATCAAGGGCGTGATTAAGAGCAAGTCTGCATTTCATGCATCCATGTGGGTGTGCGTTGCCGTGGGCATTGGGGCGACACTGGTCCCGGCCCTCTGTCCAGGTGGTGTAGATGTGATCGTATCACAGCTTTGAGTTGGGAGAGCTGCCATCTGGTATCATGTATTCTTAACCTTTTGCTATCAGTGTTGGTCTGTAGTTGGGTTTTCAGGACCCATGGCATGCAATAATTTATTACTTGTGAAATATTATGTACACAAGATTACTAAGATACAATACAACTGGTAACTGATGCTGCAAGCCCCAGAGGGAGCGTACTAAGTGAACATTACTTAAATCATTAAAAACTTATACACGAGCAAAGATAAGTCATAAAACCTGATCCGGGGTCAGTGTGAGAACAGCCGTTCTCTTGAGAAGTGTCCATATGTGGAAATGTTGGGTTCAGGTTGCCTCTTGGGAAAGTCCTCTCATGGTCGGGGAAGGCTTCTTCCTCTGATGTTAGTGAGGTGGAAGGGGGTTAATGCCAGGGTTGTTCCCAGGTGCTTTCTGTGAGCTGTCGGCTGCAGGCGGAGGTGTGTGAAGTAGAGCGATCCCTAGGTGCTTAGCAAAATCTGCCATTTTGCCGGTCTGATGGAGGATATAGGTTTAGTTGTCTTTCCACACCATGAGTTTGAAGGGATGTCCCTACATGTACTAACAGCCTTTGTGAGCCAGCGCTGTGGTGAGAAGTTTACGTTCTCTGCATTTTCACAGAGTAGACGGCGCTAAGTACTGGAAGCATGTTGCGGTTGGCCCTGGAAAGTAGGAGGCTGGTCTTGCATTGTCATCATGAGCTTCTCTTTTGTAGGGAAAAGGAGAATTTTTACCATAACATCCCTTGGGACATTAGGGTTAGGTGTTGGAGGGCGTAGTGCTTGGTGTGCCCTTTCTATTGTGAGCTCCTGGTCGGAGGCCTCTAGCAGGACATACTGAAAAATGTCCTTGATATTAGGGAGAATGGCGTCAGGCGCAATGGTTTCAGGTAGGCCCCGGATTCTGAGGTTATGTCTGTGGGACCGGTTATTCAGGTCTTCCAGACCATCTTCTAGTTGTAGTACCCTGGCTTGCATGGCGCATATGTTTTGGGCTTGAGCCCTTGTTTGTTGCGTTAGGCCTGATACGTGCGTTTCTGCCTGGTCGGTGCGGGAGGTTAGGACCTCTATGTCGTCTTTCAGGCCCACCATTTGCTTCTCCAGCTCGGCCGCTGTGTGCGCCTTGATGTCAGCAGAGGTTTCTTTAAATAGTCTCCGCAACTCTCCCATATTAAGAGGGGCCATAGAGTCCACTGAGGTGTCGCTGTCTTCACTTTCTGATCCAGACTCAGGTAGGCCTTGGGACGAAGATGGCTGCCCATGTTCTCTGGTACAGCGTGGCTACTGCTGGCGCAGTTCCTTGCACTTTTTGTTGCCTCCCATGGAGAGGTTTGGTGTGTTTGGATGGTCACCTTACTATTTATGTGGGTATTGGTGCCAGATGTGTTCCTATTGCTGATGGAGGCAGATTGTGTGCTCGGGGGAGAGGGAGCTCAGGACTCATTCGTCTTGTTCTATCGGTGGTCAGGCTCCGCCTCTACTCTACACTTTTTTAATGATGTATCTAATTTAAGTATACTTATTCAGCACTCAATTAGTCCTCGTGCTGTTGAGGTTGAGAGGTTTTGGTACATCTGAATGGTTATGTCCAAAATGATCATATGGATAAAATATGGACCAATGAAAATGCTATATGGCCAAAATTTGATTTGTCCAAACAAAAACATTTTCCGGACAAACCATATTTTTTCAACATACACAAGCCTAAACACCACACAGTGCCAGGAAATCATTCCTCGTCAGTATATTAGTCCATAACAGGATGACAGGTGAGCTGTTATATCATTAATTCGCTGTTTAGTCCTGTTAAGGAAATAGAACAATATGATACAGTGGTTGATTCAATGTGTGATAAATTGATACAGACTTTTTAGACTTTTCATCAGGGTGTGTTCATGATATATTTTCTTGACTCACATATAGCTATTGTACATTAAAATATAATAATTCTACTTGTAAAAAGTAGAATAAAAAAAACTAATATAAATGGCAAAAAAAAAGGAATTCCTTTTCTCCCAGCTTAAACACCCGTTAACCAATATCACGGGACATCTGTACTTTATGCAGAAGTGTTCAAAATATTAAACGAATTGGTGTGGCCATGGTAATCTGGTCAAGTGAAAACTGTAGGTGTTCTAGTTAATCCATTGTCTTTTTAAAGTTTAGCTTGGACTAGAACCAAAGCCTTATCTGACCTTTGCTTCCCAAGAATGCAACATTTCTATTGCCCAGTTTTCCATCCAATAACTTGTTAAATATTATTAAAACCAGTATACGCCTTGTGAAAACTTACACTAGAAAAAAAAAAAAAAAAACATTCACGACTACAGCATAATATAACATAGAATAAAGAAAATATTACTTGTTATCTTTTACGAAAAGAGATGATACTTAGCTAATGATTAACAGTTGAATTTAACTTTCTATATATGTATAGACATAGGAACTTCCTGATTAGTCAAGCAAGGTAAATATTTTATAAGAACAAAGTTTCCATCCACGTTTCAGCAGCTGGCGTCAAATTACAACAAGCTAAATAAAACTCTGACTATATCTAAATGAATTATCGCATGGAATTATTTATTTTAACTGCACACATCTAATATATGAATACAAGAATTCATCTAGGATTGTTTTCATATTTTATGAAACAGTACCGTGGGGATGACTAAAAAAATTTAAACATGTTTTTATATAATGCAATGTAATTCATTGTTTTATAGGCATCATTTGGTTCTGTTGCAACTGGTAAGATTTTAAGATGGTAGGTCACGATACTCAACATTTAAAATTTGACTTAGTCCACTTAAAGGGACACTATAGGCATCCAGACCACTTCTGTTAATTGTAGTGGTCTGGGTGCACCGTCCCTCTCAGTTTAACCCTGCAATGGTAATTATTGTAGTTAATGAGAACCTGCAATAATTGCATTGTATGGTTAACTCCACCTCTAGTGGCAATCTACCAGAAAGTCACTAGAGGCACTTCCGAGTTGTTAGACAACTTTTGATTGTCTGACGCTGGACATCCTCACACTATTCATGATGATGTCCAGCGTCACCCAAAACCAAATAGGAAAGCATTATGTCCTAATACGCTCACCACGCATGCGCATTACGCCCCCAACATCGGGGGAAGGCGGAGCAAAGGTGGAGCCTGTCCTAGCGCTGAGGGATTCAGGTAAATCACAAAAGGGGTCAGCGGGGCCTGGTCACCCAATTCAAGGGGGACCCTAAAGGGGGTTATAGTATATTAAAGGACCATGAACTGGTCTAGGTGCCAGGCCCCCCTAGTTTTAACCCTGCAGCTGAAAACATAGCATCCCCATAGGAAAACATTGAGTAATGCTCTTCTATGGGCGGGTTTGAATGCACGCACCTCTGGCAGCACATGCACATTCGGCTCCACTCGGGAGCTAACGTCGGCGGTGGAGGAGAGGACACCAGTGCAGAGGGAGCCCGACATTGGATTAAGGTAAGTGGCTGAAGGGGTTTTAACCCCTTCAGCGCCAAGGGAGGGGGCACTCCAAGAGCCTATAGTGCCAGGAAAACAGGTTTATAGGATCACTTTAAGGCAGAAAGTAACTGTAGCAAGTGTGTTAAAAAAAATTATTAGCTTAGTCATGTCTTCAAATGCTCGCAATTTAGGGAATAAGATCAATGAACTTGTGCCAATAATGGCAACTGAGAATGTAGATTCAGTGGCTGTTACGGACACATGGTATGAGAAAAATGACTGGGATATAGCAATATCAGGATACTTTTTATATAGAAAAGACAGCGAGGGCAAGAAAGGGGGAGTGGTGGCCCTGTATGTGAAGGATAGCATAAAATCTAACATGATAAATGTTAGTGAGGCAAACATAGTCAGTTTGGGTTACGTTAGAATTTGGTAATCACACACAGTAACTCGTTTAGGTGTGATTTACAGGCCCCCTGGACAAATTGAAGAGTTATATAATCTACTAGTTGAGGGAATAGCTAAAATGACATTAAAGGGGGAAGTTATCATCATGGGTTACTTTAGTGGTTACTTTAATCTTCCTGTATTAATCTTCCAATATTGTTGAATGGGTTAGGTAGTGGCTGAATGACAGGCAACAGAGGGTTGTAGTCAACGAAGTATATTCGAAGCAAGGTCTAGTTACCAGTGGGGTACCTCAGAGGTCTGTACTTGGACCCATTCTCTTTAATATTTTTATTAGTGATATTGCATAAGGTCTTGATGGTCTTTTTGCTGATGATACTAAAATTTGCAACAGGGTTGATGTTCCAGAAGGGATAAGCCAAATGGCAAATGATTTAGGTAAATTAGAAAAATGGTCAGATCTGTGGTAACTGACATTTAATGTGGATTAGTGCAAGATAATGCATCTTGGGTGTAAAAACCCAAGGGCAGAGTATAGAATATTTGATACCCTACTAACCTCAACATCTGAGAAAAGGGATTTAGGAGTAATTATTTCAGATGACTTAAAGGCAGGCAGACAATGTAATAGAGCAGCAGGAAATGCTAACAGAATGCTTGTTTTTTTAGAGAGAGGTATTAGCAGTAGAAAGAGAGAAGTGCTCATGCCATTGTACAGAACACTGATGAGATCTTATTTGGAGTACTGTACACAGTACTGGAGACCGTATCTAAAGAAGGATATTGATATTAATTTCAGGAAGTATTACTTTACAGTGAGGGTAGTGGGCGCATGGAATAGCCTTCCAGCTAAAGTGGTAGAGGTTAACACAGTGAGGGAATTTAAGCATGCATGGGATAGGCATAAGGCTATCCTAGACTTAAGATAAGGCCAGGGACTAATTAAAGTATTTAGAAAATTGGGCAGACTAGATGGGCTGAATGGTTCTTATAGGCCTTCACATTCTATGTCTCTATAGTGCTAGGAATACGATTTTGTATTCCTAGAGTGACTATAGTTTCCCTTGAACCATATGTACTCAAGCCCTGATCCAAAAAGATTTCATGCCCTATTCAACACCGTAAGCCTATAGATATACGAATTAAAGAAGTCTGACTGTATGGCATGTATTCTAGCATACATGTCCTTGACAGAAATTACAAATACCAGTCATATTCACTATGCAATGTTCAGTAACAAACTAAAGGGATTTTTCAAACATTCTTTGAAAAACAAGGTCTAGGATATTATTTCTAATTCAAAATGGATGCCAAAAAAGCATGAAGAACTTAATTAAACATAGATTAGAGCTCAGCTGAAACAGAAACTTCTGTGTAAAAGAAAGTTAGCAAAAATCTACAATATTTACAAGATTGCAATATTGTTTTTAAACTATCGCTAAATTCAGAGTTTTGATAGGGGGAGAAGATTTGCAGAATCATTTACAAGATTGGTGTTACGGTTGCCCCAGGCTAGCTTGGATGTCCTTGCCCCCGATTCTGAAGAGCGGTAGAAAGTCCCAATTCAGCACCTAACGATCTTCCTGCAAGTGTAATGTATTCCTGGAGCTCTGAGCAGAGCTAGTGATCAGCATTTCCCTACAACACAAGTCGAGGCTGCGAGTTGAGGGTAAGAAGTCTGGTTTATTGAATGGAAAAGCATTGCTTATATACACATTTTCAGGCCAGGAGTCACACCACTCTGGACCTGATGGAACACAGTGTGACAAGGGACATAAACCAATAGGAACAAAGTGCATATTTTCAAACCCTCACCTCTATCCTGGAGATAATTAGCTTAAATGGTTACAGTAACTTAATTATCTCCAGGTATAGGCAATATTCTGGATTTTAAATTATACTGAAAACTACATCAAATTACATAGCTCATACAATATATTCTTTAATTTATATGTTCAGCATATCCCCAGACAGCTTGGATCTGAGCGCACAAGATGTCCAAAAAGCGTTCAGATCTCACGAATATAGTGGGAACGCTATGGGGATAAAGTTTGTCTCCAGGGCTGTTCGGCAAAAAGTCAACCCAGAATTAGCTCCACACTGTTCAGGCATAGGGTCGGTCTAGCCTCCAGAGTCTCAAAGTACAGAACGGACAGGGTCTGGCAATCCCAGCGGGGTTCGTGAACAATAGCATCCGAAAATAGTACCATGAGGTCGACGACCAAGTCCTGCTGGGCCTTAGGCAGTTATAGATGGCCGCTGCCACGTGTTCGTGCATACGAACGATGACCACACAGCCGATCATCAATTAGGTTGCA